CTCATCAGAAAATAATGATTATACTCTTTAGCATGACATTTGAGTAACTTTACTGTCTGTATCTGCCTTATTTTTTGGTTTTACTTTTTCTTTTTCAATCAATTCTTACTTTTTCAGCTATCCCAGATGTCTTTCTATATCTTGAATTTTTGCAGATGTTTCATTTTTCCTTGCCTCTGTAGATATTATTTCCTTTTCTTTAAATGTCTTTCTCTACCTTAAAAGTTCAAGTATCAGCTACTTTTATGAATCCTTCCCCAAATCCAGCTGGAATTTGCCTCCTTCCCACATAGATATACCATATATATATTATGTAAACTAAACTCCATGTTCTTGGACATCAGGAAATGTGTATTTATTTATTTTTTTATTACTAAATCATAGATACCCAATAAATTTCAGTAGAATAAATTAGTACTATTTATTTTAAATATAGTGACCATCTAGTTTCTATCTCTATTGAAGATAAAGCATCAGACTTTAATCTTTCAATATCAGGAAGAGTGAGTTATATATTGGAATGAATATTTGGGAGACTGTAGTTTTCTTTTCCTTCTCTTCCCCCCTCCCTGTGTCTCCCTCCCTCCTTTTTTCTCTCATCCTCTTTCTTTTGGCAATACTAGAGATTGAACCCAGGGCCTTCCCACAGAGCTATCTTTTCAGCCGTTTTCTTTTTTATTTTGTGACAGGGTCTCTATAAATTAAATTACCCAGCCTGAGCTTGAACTTGTAAACTTCTGATCTGCTCACCTTGGCTTCCCATAGTCCAGTGTTTACAGGCATGTGTCACTATGCCTGCCAAAGAATAAAATTTTAATTATCTAAGGTAGCACAGAAATTATTTTGGTTTGATTTGTGTTGATAAACTAAAATTAATTTTTTGGTAGCTCAAATATAATTTTCTTACTATGTCAACATAAATTTCATGAGAGAAATGATACACACTGAAATAGGCTAAGAAAATGCAATAAAAATGAAGAGGCCCCAAGAAAGGTAAAAGACCAAGATTAGATTTATTTTTAATTATGATCTATCTACTGTGTGATTTCTTTTTAAGGTTTAAAGTTTTATTTTAGATCTAACAGTAGTTGTCAATGCTTTAATAGCATAGCTGAAGAATATAATAATACTTCTATTTTTATTCTTATTACAGAATGAATTTAGTATGTCAAGATGTTAACTCCTTAACTATGAACTGCATTTCACAAAAAGGTTTACTTGAGAAAATCTAAAATCCTAGTGAAGTGATAGGGATAACAGCAAGCTATTAATTTTCTCGCTTAAGATTGCCAAAATGATGTTTCAGTATTTTTTTAACAGAAAAGTTGAAGGCAATTCAGTAGTGCTTTGAATCAGCAAGTCATTTTTAGTAGGTGAAAGAACTGTAGTTGATAGGTCTTGAAACAGGTTTGTCTAGAATCCACCTTTTATCTTTCTTCTATGACTGATGAATATACAGTGGAATTCATGTATTGCAATAAGTGGACAAACATATCAGGCTTTAACTCTTTCAGGAGCTGTTGCTTTGTGATGCAAGGCCACTTACCCTGTCTTATGAATACCAGCTATGGTATCAAGCATTTTCAATAAGGTATAATGTTATAGAAATAGAATGGGCCATTTTCCTAAGTAGTGAGTCTTCCTTTTCTGAAAATGTATGAGCACATTTTTTATTGTTTATTGCTGCATTTCCCTTGTCTTAAACAGGGCTTGGTACAGACGATATACCTAGCAAGTGCTTCTTGTGTGAATCAAAAAAACATAAAATAGGGCTGGGGATTTAGCTCAGTGGCAAAAGCGCCTGCCTGGCAAGCGCAAGGTCGTGAGTTCGGTTCCCGGTACCGGAGAAAAACCAAAAAAAAAACAAAAACAAAAAACAAAAAAACAAAACATAAAATAGAAGCAAAAATTAGATGATATTTCAATTAATTTTTATCCTGTAATGAACTATCTGGAAGATAGTAGCTTTAAACAACCTGATTCATATTTTTCATGACTGTATGGATTGGCTGGACAGTCTTGGGTGGTCTCACATTTCAAGGGTCCAGCTGAATGGCTGGGACAGTTCGGGGTCTGTCTCCATGTGTACCTCACTCTCCAGGGTGAAGCAGTGGAACTTCTTCAGAGTGTCAGCATTCCAGAGGAGTGAGTGAAAGCTGCAATGCTCTGATGGTGCAGCTTCGAACTCTTCTAGGGTATTTATTGGCTCAAAAAGGTACAAGTCCAGTTCACAAGCAGTAGGGTAACTGCCTCTTCTCTAATGGGAGTTGTTGCAAAGAGTTTGTTGCTATTTTTCAAAATTTATCACAGATGAAAAAAATCTTCTGTTAGAGAACTACTGTAACAGGTGGGTGATTGGTCAAGCTGACCTCTTATAGGCCTTCCAACTCTTGAGATTCTGTGATTCTACCATTTTAAAATCTGTGTTCTCTGGGAGAACAGTTATTAACTGGTGTTATCTGGAAACCTTAATCTTCTTCCTCTGATAAGGCATTTTTAAAGATAATTCACTGAACAATTATTTTTAAATTATTATGATGTAGAATTTGTAGTATGCATCTAACCATTTGAAGTACCCACAAGAATCTTCTTGTTAGAGTAATATTTACATCTAGTTATAGTAATATGTAACTAACCATTTTAATTTTAGTATAGCAGTAACATTGTCATCTTTGTGCTTTGTTGAGCATTCTGTGAACAACAGGTAAACTATTCATCCATCAAATACTCTTTTAGAAGTCACTGAGATTAATAAAATTCTATTTTTATTCTGCATCAGAGTGCCTATATTATTGCCTTGATATTTACTACTACTATTAAATTTGTCAATGTATCACTTTCCTCTAATCATTCTTTTATGACACTTTAAAAAAAAATTCTTCCCTTGAGACTACTTTAGTAGTAGTAGGAACAGAGACACAGGAAAGCAGATATATCATATAAGAAACTTACAAACAATGTGTTAGAACTCTGCGAAACTTCCCACCAGGAATTTCAGAACAATCATAACAGTGCTGGACAGCCTAAGCTGTGACTGACAGAACAAGTTCATACTACAGAATTTTGTTAGGATATTTTCATATGTATATGAAATTAATTGAAAGCCAGACATATTCTTTGTCCATTTTTTATAAGATTCAAATATGACTAGTTTATGAATCTGTTTTATTTAAAATTTTTAATTTGGCATTAATCTCCTACCCCTACATTCTACACCAACATGCCTCTCTTCCTAATCCCTCTGGAAAAATAAAACCAAACTCAAAGCCAGTTCATCTCTGTGGAATTCATGTGCTAGCAGTTGAATAGATTGCTCATAGTTAACCTGTTAAAATAACATTCCCAGGAAATTTTGCTCTATTTTTCCTATTTTAAATTAATAAACTTTCTTTGCTTGTTATACATTACTGTAACTACATGTGAATAACTCTAACAGCTTTATTCCTTAGTTTTAGGTTTATAGAAAAGAGAAAGAGATTTAAGTCCAGAGCTCCCATATACTCTCACTCCTACCCACCCAAACAGTATACTTTTTATTAACATCTTACATTGATGTGGTCTACTTGTTACAATTGATAAACCAATTGATAATAATTCTATATATTTTATTGTGTATATTATTATTGTGTATATTATTTTATGTATTTCTATATATTTTTCATCGTGCTAATTCTCAATCCCAGGGCCTTGTTCATGTTAAGCATCTTGTCACTGAGCTACACTCCAAGCCCCAGTACTGATGATTATTAACTGAAGACCATAGTTTAAGTTCACTTTTTTCTATTGAATAGTTACATGGGGCCTCCATATGCCTAATGTAACATATCCAGCAGCGTGCTTTTTCAGACATTTCGAGTGCTTGGTAGCCATAAACAGTCAATGACGGAGCGCAGGACTCTGAGCAACCTCAATGCAGGTTGTCTTGCTCTGTCCAGGCCTCCAGAGTAGGAATGCAGGCAGTGTTTTCCAAAGTTGTATTAGACAGGTAGAAGGTCTCTCTATACCTGTGAATGCTGATTCTTACATGCTCCGCAAGCACTTTAAATTCTCCAACTTGGGAAAAAAGCACACTGGGGAACATACTTATTTTCACGTATCAGACCAGTGAGTACAGGGCTTCCCGAATCCCAGAAAGTCTGAATCATCCCAAATGTTGACTCACCAGCCTAAGGCGACTGAAACGTAACGGGAACCCAGTCTGCCTCCCCAGGCATCTTTTTGTTTCTACTCTGCTGTCTTCCCGTCCTCCGTTTTGGATGACTCATTCTCCTACCCTGTAGGCGTGCAGCCAAGGTGGCGCCCGTCTTTGCGGAAAGAGCTGACTTTCAGATGGTCAGCGCCACAACCCGGGTCACCTAGGCCAGCGGTCTGGCCTACCTCATTCCAGAATCTGCAGCTGGGACTGTGTGAGTCTGAGTTACAAATACCCACTCCTCCCCTGCTCTTATGGTGGCGGTCGTGATGTGGTTTGGGAATTTAAGTTTGAAGAAGTACTTTTTACTTCAAAATCTTTTAGAATTTTCAAGTCCGACTCCATAGTCTCGCTAATATCTTTCTCCAGTTCGGTTTTTTTCCTTTCCGGCAGGAAAGTTTCCATCCCCAGCCCCCAGGCTAACGCCCTTCCGGCTCGCTCGGAACCCGTCCAAACCCCCGGGACCGGGGGGGCCTACCCCTCTCGCGGGAGTCTAAAGCAGACAGATCGCCGCTGCCCACCCGGCCGAGACCCCACCCCACCGCCATCCACCCGGGGTAGGGGCGCAGCGCTCAGGCTCTAAGCCCCGCCCGCCAAGTCAGCACCAGCCGGTCAGAGAGAGGAAGGGCACAGGCCCCGCCCACCTTCGGCTCTTTCCCTCGCTGTTGGGCGGGCTGCCGGCCCATTTTCTCCATCCTTCCGCCGATTGGCTCGCTCCGTCCCGCGCCAGGCCCTGTCCTCGCCGCCGGGGAGGGTGAGTCACGCCAAACGGGGCGGAGAGTCACCCGGCCTCTCTCCTGCGCTCGTCTGGGCGGCGGCGGCGGCGACTGCGGACGGCGGCGCATCGCGGGCGAGGCGGCAGCGGGAGCGCTCCCATTGTTCCGGAAGCCGGCGCCGGCCCT